TATGGTGAACTGATGTCCGAGGTGATAAATAAATCACACTGTCCGTCCCTTTGATTGGTCCTAGCACTGTCCAACTGTGTGCAGAGACAGTTTGAAGACAACCAAAGATTCCACCTCACATCTGGATAGTTTCCATGGGTTGTGGCTGGGCTATGTAGATGTATAGGACAACTTGCCAGGCTTGGAAATTCATGTATTCTCTTAAAAACATAAATATTCTGTCTGAGCTCACTCATCACAACAGACTGGTTCTGCCCCAATCCGCCTCCTGCTCCCTCCTTTCTCAACCAGGAACAAGGTAATGAATGAAAGCAGGTTAAATTCAGCCCCAGAGGTAGGACAAGGACCAAGGACTAGCTTATCAAGTTTACAGATGACACCACCGTTATCTGACTCATCTCTGACGGGGATGAGGCAGCCTACAGAATGGAGTTGGAATGGATGGTGTCCTGATGCAGCCACAACAACCTGGTGCTAAACCAGAAGACAGTGGAGGTTGTGGACTTTAAGAAGCACACAGCCACCCCTCCCCCCAGAACTCTGTCTGATACTCACGATGGTGGACTCGTCGCTTCCTGGGCACCACCATAACCCAGGATCTCAAGTGGGAGCCCACCATTACCTCCATCATAAAAAGGCCCACCAGAGGATGTACTTCCTGAGGCAGCTGAAGAAATTCAACCTATCTTTACAGTAGATGAGGCAGTTCCACGCCACAGTCATCGACTCCACCCTCACCTCCTCAGTCACCGTGTGTTATGCTGGAGCCACCATCAGGGCCATGAAAAGACTGCAGCGTGTTGTGCGCTCTGCTGAGAAGGTCATTGGCTGCAAACTCCCCTCCATACAGGACCTGAACACCTCCAGGACATCGAAGCATGCAGGTCGGATCACAGGAGACCCGTCTCACCCTGGAAACAGTCTCTTTGACTTGATCCCATCTGGCAGAAGGGTCCGATCCATTTGGACCAGAACCTCTCACCACACAAACAGTTTCTTCCCCTCTGCTTCTGGACTCATGAATGACAATCATAGAGCTACCCACTCCAGATGCTTTGTTTCAGTCACCTGACCCTGTGTTTTGTTTGCACCTGAACTGACCAGTACCTACACTGACTTGCATAAAGTAGCTGCTTCTCTAATTATTGTCTTCCTATATTATTACCATCATTTCATTGTGTTTATTTCTTAACTAATTTTGCTCATCATTTATTTTTCTTGCACCAAGTACCGCAGCAATTTCCTAATGTGATTCTTGCACATATGACAATAAAACCCTTCTAATTCTGATATGATTCTGATTTGATTCTGACATCCGAGATACTTTTAGTAGAGCCACTGCTCCTCCGCCTCCAGCTGAGGTGTTTTGGGCATGTCCTACCAGCAGGAGGCTGCTCAAAAACCATCCATTTGTTTACCGTCTGAACTTGACTTAAACTTGCAGTCCTCATCGTTGTCTGGATTTTGTTTTGGAGCTCATCAGGGTCCATTTGCTCACCAAAAAAAGAGACAAAAGGTAAAATGTTGATTTCCTGGTGCTCTTCTGACTCTCTAAATGTTTATTTTGTCTGAAAAGGGGCTTTTCTTAATGTTCCACTGATTATTGTTAGAGATGAAAATAAAAGTCTGTTCTAGAAAAACGTGTTTAAATGTTTTATTTGTCATAGCAACCATTTCTACTGATTCCTGGATTCTTCCATCCCAGTTCTTCTCTTTCCTTTTTCCTATATAGATATTTTTTCTCATATGAATTTATGAACCTAGCTCAGTTATCACTTTTCCTTCAGCACGGTTTGGTGCCAGATGTAGAAACTTTGAGTTTCACACTGTTTCTGGAACAATGCCACCACATGCCTGCAGTTTCTGTCACATCTGAAGTGCAAATAGGAAAACGGCAGAACAGAAGGTGTGATGTATGAGGAAAGGAGCTAAAAACGGTTTCCCAGTTCTTTTTCTACTTGAGGAAGATAGAAAATAAAGAAGAGACGGGCTAAAACAGCATGTTTATGATACATTGCAGCCATTTCAGAAGTGTACCAGCCTGCCTGCTGAAGGCCAGTGTTGTCTCTTCTCATTTGGATGATGGTTTATGTCGCTGCTTCTGTTGGATCATTTAGCTGCTGCAGCATTAGCTTGATAAATGTTCCTGTTAAAGATGGAGAAAAGCTGAGAAACGGATTTCATGCGGCTCTTTATGGTCAGTGTGGAGCTCCAGAGTCCAGAGAACATTAGCATTTAGCTCCAGGGTGGCTCTAACCCCCGCACCCCACTGAGGGTGGAGCTTAAGCTAGTAATTGCTGATTTGTATTTTATTTTTTGGGTATTTTAGCCTAAGGTGAGATGTGGGAACCAATGACATGAATACATTTATTTGAAGTTGAAAAGAGATGCTGAGACAAATACTTTCATGTTGTCAAGTCAAGGTTTATTCATATAGAAAATATATGACAGAAACAATAAAAGCATTAATAACATAAAAGCTGTCTAGACTAGAAATTACTAGTCACAGACAACCAAGACGAAATGCATATTATAAGTTATAAGAATATAAAGCGTCAGTTAGGAGATTTTTTAGAACGAGATCACGGATACAAGTGGTTGAAATTAGTTTTCTCTGCAGGGTGTCTGAGCTCTCTCTTAGAGATAGGCCGAGAAGCTCGGTCACCCGGGAAGGACTCGGAGTAGATCTGCTGCTCCTCCGCATAGAGAGGAGCTAGTTGAGGTGGCTCGGGCATCTGGTCAAGATACCTCCTGGACGCCTCCCTGGCAAGGTTTTCCGAGCACGTCCAACCGGGAGATGGTCTAAAGGAAGACCCAGGACACGCTGGAGGGACTGTGTCTCTCAGCTGGCCAGGGAACGCCTTAGAGGGGCTTTACGGAGTTTTGAATTTTTATGCTCGCGATTGCCCCCTCAGGCCAAAAGCGTAACGGCAGCTTCAATAGTAGGCTCGTGTACGAGGCGCGCATGCTGTACGTGCACACTCCTTAATGAAAATAACAGCTGAGACAGTCAGCTCCATGTGTGTGTGTGTGTGTGTGTGTGTGTGTGTGTGTGTGTGGCCCGGAGGACAGGAGAACGCGCATCTAATTAATTAAATAATTTGGTTCTGTACCTTTCTCTTCAGCACAGCTGGCAAAGGTTTATGATGGGTCAGTCCTCCTGTATGCTCAGATAATTCCCTTCCCTTGCTTGAAAAATTGTTCCAAAATGAAAGTTGAACCCACATCTTTTTTATCTGTGAATTCAGTTCGGCGAGTCTCAAATAAAAATTTGGGCATCGTACTGTAAAAAAAATATACCATTAATGTAAAAAAAGAAACTCTAAATTTATCATGTCCACATCCAGAATCAAACCCGGGTCTTCCACACGGGAGTCCTCCGTCTGACTGGTTGAGCTATAGCACCAGTGACATGTTTTGTACCTGTAATATGTATATCCTTGCTGACAGCTGAAACAACATTCAAAGAATGGTTCGGAGCGAAAATGGCTATTTTGTTGCTAATTTGCAGGAACTATCTAGAAGAAAGTAGCTAAGGGTCCTCAGAAATGTAGCTAGGTTCATCACTAGGCGTTAGGAACAGGGACAAAGTCTCTGAGTTGGCACTGCCTCTCTCTCTCTGCTGCTAAAGCTACAGATAGCAAATGCTACGAGCTATTTCTGAGCGTGAACGCGCATGAAGCAGCCGAGCAGCTCTCTTTTTCTGAGATTTTACAGAAAAACAGGCAATCACAGTAAAAATGCCAGGGCTCATTCTACAGGACCAGGGCATTGCAGGAGAATGTATGAAGAAGAAATGTATTATTTCTATACATGTTTTGGCTGTCAAACTTCCATAATGTCCCTTTAAGATTCCCCTGGAGGTGCTGACCCAAGTGGTTGGGGAGAGGGAAGTCTGGGCCTCCCTTCTTAGGCTGCTGCCCCCGCGACCCAACCTCGGATAAGAGGCCGAAAATGGATGGATTTGCATCATCTTTGATGGATTACCCATTGACTGACATCTGTAGTGGTGAGTGCATCACATTGTTTGTTATCCAATAGCATGAGGAGACAGTTTGAAAGACAACCTTAGATCCCGCCCCACAACTGAGTGCCATCAATGGACCATGGCCAGATTATATATTCACATGGCTGGCCAGGCTGATATTGAAGCTAAAGCAACTGTGACTGAGTTTCTGTTATTATACTGCTGTCATTTTACACTAATTGTGTAAAGGGCATTCTTGTAGTGTTATTTACTTACAAATGTGATTCTCTAACAGAGCAGCTACAGAAAAGCTTCCAGCTTTTTACTCTAGGAAAGTTCAGTTTTCAGCTGAGGCACATTGAACCAGGAAGAAAAAAAATTAACTTGAAAAACTGTGAAAAAAAGAACTATTATGACATAAATATAAAACAAATGTGGGAAAAAAAACGATGTAAAATAAATTTAGCAGTATTTACACCATATCTTGGTAATATTACACATCAGGTGGTCTATTGCATTGTCAATGATCTTGCTTGTCCAGCTTTGTCCCAACTGTGTCCCCACCCAGTTTTTATTGTTTCTTACAGAAGCTTGTGCCTCTTTACTTATTATTATTAATTTATGTTTAATTTAGTTGATTTTGAACATATAATGTAGTTTTTTAGATGTGCTAATCTAAAATGTCCTACAGTGTTGGATTGAAACAAACCTTAGTACAGGTTGGAATATTTTAAAATATATTTTGGTTTTGAAAAGAAAAAAAAACCATGGTAGATTAAAAGTGTTTAAACTTTTCTCAGACAAAGCACAGCGCTAATCCTCATGGTAGAAAGTTAGATTGGATTACAGCTGTCCTCATCTGACCTCGGCTGACATTCAGGCTGCCACCAGCTCCTTGATTAATTCTGAGTGTTGTCATAACAGGAGCAGGTGTAGTCGTTATTGGTACATCGTCACAGGTGTTATAGACACATATGATCTATTTCCTGTTTGTGGAGTGTGTAGGAACCTTTTTCCATCTCTCCAGTGAGTCTGCCCAGCCCTCTTCTGTCTGAATCTAATCTATCCTCTCCATAAAAGAGTCAGATATGATTCTGATCAGATATAGTCTGACCTCACAAACGGGTGTTTCGTTTTAAGGTGGGGGCGTGTGCACCTTGCTGTGCCGCTAATCCCTGGATCCCGAGAGTAGGACCAGGATTTCTGAGTCGGTGTTGCCAGGGGGAAGAAGGAGGAAGGTGGTGCCGCCTCGGACTTGTTGGAAATGACAGCTGAAGACGGTGGATTGGAGCAGGAAAGCAGTGGGAGATAACGAAGAAAGTGTCCGTGTTCGCCGTGTGAAGGGTGTGTGTATGTGTGCGCGTGTCCAGCTTTAGCCGGAGAGCTAATGATTCTGTGACCGAAGGAAATGAATGCATGTGCACGCATCCGTGTGTGATAATTTTCTGTGTGGGTGTGGGGCGCTGCACTTGTCTCAAATAGCCTCATATGGTGTTAGCTAGAGCGCTAATTTGATAAAAGCTAGTTGGCTAATCAAAGCGATTAGCTGGCTGGGTGAGGCTCCAGTACGACTAGTCAACAAGGAGTAAAGACTAACATGCAGCCATGCTGGCTAAAGTTAATGCCTTATCTTTTAAGGTGTAACTTGTGTCTTCGACAGCAGGTAGGCTAATTTGTTGGGCTGTTAGCTTCATAGCTGGAACCGCTGAGCTCGCTAATTGACCCAGTTGGTGGGGCCAGAGGCCATGTTGTTGTTCCACCTGTCTGAACTTTGTTTACAACTTTTTAGCTCATTACTTCTGCTCCACAGTTCTTACTTGTTACCCGCCAAGTTAAGTTTAACCAACACTAAATGTGTTTTTGTTCTGCTTTTTGTGGTGAAACTCTCCCTGCACATTTAATCCGTTTAACCCCCAACCCGTGCACTCACGTGCTCATAGCTGCGAGGCAGGATACGTGTCTCCATGGTAACGGCTGCTAAACGGCCAACTAGTTTTGAGTTTCCTGCGTAGTCTTTGTTTCATTCTGCCGAAAAGGCGTCAAATTACCTAATGAACAAACACACTCTTATAGTTTAAATTTCAGAAAATATTACCGGTGTTTATTTGTTTGGTGTGTATGTATGGTGGCCCAAAGGGTTCAGTAAAATACAAAAGTCGCAACATAACAAACCCTAATTCATTCAAAATGCTGCAAACGTAAGTAATTGAGAGCCCACCTGTGAAAACAACCATCTCTGCTGTATTCTTGACCTCAGCAGCTTGAGTTAAATGGTGTGGCAGAACCTGACCAGAAACTAATAGCTGCTAACCTCAGTCGACTAAAGAAATGTGGGTCAGAGTTTCACCGCAGCTCTTTTAATGACTGATGTGATCAAACAAGATAATACTTATAATTATTGCTGATAACAGCCTCTAGGAGATGCTGATTCTTCAGGCTAATTTATTTTTAACCCTTTATGTTTTGGATGAAGGCTTTAGTGATCAAATGGATTGAAGGTTTATTTGAATACATAGAGGTTTTTAGGGTCCTTTTTACCATGGCTGACGTCCCTTTTTTTTCTTCTACTCTCCAGTGCATTATAGATGGATTCCCTAATGAACGCGGTGACGCCACGCTCCCCAGCTCCCACCAAGAAGCTGTCCGAGGTGGACTTCCGCTCCGGGGCCACCTTGGAGCAGCTGTCGGCACAGGTGTCGGAGCTGGTTCTGTTGGAACAGGGGGAATTTGGGGACCAGACCGCCTTAGAAGTCCATACTGCCAAGGATTTCATCTTCAACATGCTAGGTAAAAGCAGTCATTACATTTGGACATCACTGAGGTACATGCTCTGGGTTAGGGTGAATAATTAGACCAGATTTTTTGACTCCTCCACTTGGCCCAGACTTGGCTTTCAGGGCATGATTGTAAATATCTGTTTACTTTTTCTGTGTTTTGTTGATTATCTTAACTATATCAGATCATCTCTGACCCATCAGCCTATATTGGGGTATATATTTGGTATTTCATTTTATTTTGTAGCTCTGCTGTGACCGATATTATTTATGGCTGTGGTTGTCTGTTAGATGTGTGTGACGGGTGACAAGAGAGGCTGGCTCCCTGAAACAGTGAACAGTAATTGTAATTAGAGGCTGGCTGATGTAGTAAATATTTTCTATATCGGCCGAAATTATTTTTAAAAGCCGATTAAAAAATAAATAATAATAATAATAATTACAAACAAAAAATAATAATAATTAGGCACCTGTGTGGCCAACTGCCGCCACTACTAAACTGAAAACCCGACGGACCCAACACACCGATAAAAAAATGTTTTAAGTTTGTTTTATATTTGAAGTTCAGTAGATATTAAGAGATTTATTGACTTATTTAATTTATATTGTATTGCACACATTGAATGTTCAGTCGTCTTTCACAATCAACGTGCTGCTAAAACGTGTGTGTGTGTATATATATATATATATATATATATATATATATATATATATAATCGGCCTTAATAATCGGCTTTAAATATCGACCATCGGCAACAAAGTTCTTTAAAAATTGGTATCGGCCTTTGAAAAAAACATATTGGTCGGCCTCTAATCATAATAAAGCTAGGCTGACTTGGAAGTTAAACCTCTCTTCTTTCAAAAACTGTTTGAATGTTTCTGATGGCACAAACCAATGCACAGTTACAAAGTAAAGTGTGTCCCAGCGTGTTTTTATGAGAAACTCTGAGGTAGCCCAGTAAAAGCGTCCAATGCCTTCTGTTTTCCTCATTGTGTTATCAGAATAATAATTTGAGTTTTGGTGGTATGATGTCATTTCCTGTCATGATGATGACCGCACATTGCGATTAATGTGCTGAAGTAAGGTAAGGCGATATGGACAAAAAGTTGTATCTTTCAGCTGAATTCTAATATACAACGTATATCGATATTTTTCCTCCTGTAAAATACTTACAAGTTAACTCCCTTCGAGCTGTCTTGAGAAATGATATACATAAATTAATCAGCAAATTAAACGCATAAAAATGTATATATAAATGTATATCTTTGTGTTTGACATGGTTCATTTTTATACTGGATTTGGAGCTGTTGTAATGTAATCTGATCGTTGATTCTAATAAAGTATTTATCTATCAATCCGTTGACAGCTAGATAAGTATCAAATGTCCCACAGGCACTTTTTTTTAATTATAGTTAGAATTCATGCAAAATCATTTAAATTCTATCTACAGGTGGCTCATATCATATTTTGCACAAGTAGGATGGAGAACCAGCCCGTTTGCAGCCACGGTGAAAAGGCTCGCTGAAACGTCCCCAAATATTTAAAACCCAGGAAGCCAAATGCAAACTTTAGGGCAGAACATTGACCCAGAGGTTTTCTGATTGAACAGACTTGTGAGAATACAGATAATGACTGCTTAGAGCATTTATCAGACACAAGGCTGGCCCACGGAGCATTTTTATGTGGCCCGCGAGATAAATTATATCAAAACTGACCCGCTGGCCAATTTTACCGCAAAGACTACAACTCCCACGATGCTTTGCGGCGTTAGCGCAGAGCCGAAGCGCTCCCTCCTTTGTGTTTTTTCCAGCGTCTGCTGCCAGTGTCTGCAGCTCCGCTGTCTCAGACAAACTAAATACTCCTCTTACTCAGCGCCGAGTTTACTCAGCTTTTTGCTGACGTAAAGCCCAGAAACGGAGATTTTAACTGCTCAGTAATGTGTTCACGACTGACAGAGAAAGTTTTTCAACTAACTTCCAGACAGAGCTGATATAACTCCAGCGAGCAGCGACACGCTCAAATCAGCATGACTCTGTGGCTGCTGTAGTTTTTATTTTTCCTCTCCGACACAACAATGTGGTCAAGCTGCTCAGACATGTTCATCAGCACAAACCTATATGAGCACCTGTTGTCATTATTATGATGAAGATGAACAAAACAACAGGAGTCTCCTTCTCAGCTCAGGTCAACCCCATGATGCAGGTATCTGGCTGGAACAGGTGAGCATCACAGTAAACCAGTGGAGCAAACTGAGCTTTAAATATGTTGGTTTTCTGCTCTTTTTCTGCTCCAAAACATGAAAGTTAACAGGTGAGATGTTGCATTTTCATTTAAGATAAAATTATATTTTTATTTTGTTGTTGGCCCGTGAGAAAAGATTTAACCTACAGTAAAACAGGAAGAGGAAAGGCTGCAGATAGATGAATAGAATAGAAAATCCCTTTATGTTCCTCAGTGGGGAAAGCTAGACGTCACAGCAGCGATGACACGTATTACAGGAGAAAAAAAGAATAAAAATAAGAAAAATGAATAAACAAGAAAACATAAATCCTGAATAATTTTTAAAATGCTGAATATACCACAAGGAATAAATACCACTGATGACTTGCTCGTGTGTAATTTGGTTATTCCACATTCAGTGTTAATGCAAAAATAAGTTTGTTTCCAAATTAACAGGTTCAAATTTGCATATATGTTGTTAAAGAAAATTAGCAAATTTGCCATCACTTTTTCCGAAAATATTAAGTTTGGCCCGCAACTTCGTCTCAGATTTTCATTTCGGCCCCTTGTGAATTTGAGTTTGACATCCCTGGCTTAGAGACTGAGCAAATTAGTCACTAGCATAGCGGCTTACTGCTAGCATATGAAAGAAAATATTTAAAGAAGTAGTTAGTTGGAGCCCAAGATGGCAATAATCATAAAAGCAGCACTATGATTTGCAGGGTGGGGTCGCTGTCTTTTCCAGATCTAACAGGAACATTCAATGAAAACATTTAATTTAACCCAAAAGGGTTTCAGGCAGGAAATGTTGTTCAAACAAATATCGGTGGGCTTACCCCTGCTGGTATGAGCTGTGTTGTGTCAGAAGCTGGATGTCGAGCAGAGAGGGTCCCATTACTAAAGTCTTTGGTATGACCCGACCAGGATTTGAACCCGGTGTCCCACTTCCAGGGTGGACACTCTACTACTAGACCACAGAGAAGGAAACCTGAGACCCTCACGCCTACTGCACACTGGAAGCAAAAGCGGTGCGGAACGGCAGTGGAACTGTTTACTCGCGACAATCACACAACTCAAGTGCACAGCGGGAGTGTTTCAGCAGTGAAGCGGCTTCTCTGCCCAGCTCCTAGCTCGACTCGCAAGATCACAAAATCCCTCGACTTCCGCAAACCTTCTTGCAAGATTACACGATCTCTCGAGATTTCAAAGGTTACTGTTTTATGAAATCCGCCATTAAAACAAGAAAAAGGAAATCACGTTTGATATCGCTGTTTGATGTCATATATGATGATGTTCCTCGCCACCGCCAGGAGTAAAACCATGAAAACACACAGCTGTACTTCTGGAATTATGCTGATGGTAAAAAAGCCATTAGGTGACACGTAAGCTTCATATAGGGCTTTGGAGCGTGACATTGCATGATGGGGGCACGCCCTGGTAACGCCATCTTGTCACCGAGGACTGAGGAACAAACGGATAGCACCAGGATTGCACTCTTATAACATTTAGCACCCTTATAACATCAGCAATGGGTAGGACTTGCTGTGTAGTAGGCTGTAATATTAAGTCGCACGACCGGGAAGGTAATGAGCTTGAAAATGGGCTATCTTTTTACTCCTTCCCTGCCTGGAAGCAACGTAAGGGAGCACATGTGTCCGATGTAACCAAAAGAAGACTGCTAACCTGGATTGCAGCTGTGAGACGAGTCGATCTTCAGTTCTCTACCATCACCAAATATCTTCTAGTGTGTTCCAGACATGTTTATTCTGGTAAGTTCCACATAACCGCTCATATTCCTCCTTTTATCTTTGGTATTTTTCCATGTGCTCTGAGTTGTTGTTTTTAGATCCCGTTAGCTTCTGCAGGCACGGTCTTAGGCCTTTGGTCTACGAATTGTAAACAAATAGTATTTGTTTTTCTGAAACACAAAAGAAAAACTAGACAACGCAAATAATAATGGTGTGAGGTCAAAGAAAATTAGAACAAATAACCAGAAGATTAATTGATTTAAAAAAAAAATATTTATATTTCATACACACGTTAATCTTTCTTTGCATTATTGCAGGTAAACCTGCCTATGAAATGGATGAAACAAGTCCTGACTGGATTCCAACGCTCCACATGGGTCATTCTGAAGTCTCTGCTTCAAAGTCAGACCGTCACGCACGACGACGGCAACGGATGAAAATTAAAGGAGGAGGTAAACAACACCCACCCATGTTCTTGTTGTCACATCACAGAACTTTAATTTTGCTAATTGATGTAAATGTTATTTTAATTGTATAAGATGAGGAAGGAAAAATAAGATTTACCTGAGGCACTCTGAGGATTATAATTTTTTATGAAGCAAGGTCAGATCACCTCTGATCATCAGTTTTTCTTCCTCATCTACATGTTTTACCTGATCCTGCAGAGCACCTGATGCGTCTTTTATATAACTTTCCACACAGACGCGCTCTCTCCCATCTGTTGTAATTTTAATTGTACTTGTGACGATCCTTTGGCTCACACTCCTTGTGTCTGACAGGTGTTCAGTATGAAGCGGCAGATGGTGAAGGAGACACCCCCTCCAAAGTTTTAGATGTGGAGCTGCCAGAGATGGACCTGACAGACAAACAACACCGTGATCACCTGATGACGGAGGCAGTGGTCCAGGGGAATGTTGAAAAAGTGAAAGCTGGGACAGCATTTGTGGAGGATGGACATCAGACAGAGGGAGAAACAGAAGAAAAATGCCAGAAGATGGAATGTGAACAGAACAGAGCAGAAATAAATCGGTCATTGGCGGAGAGCAGAAGGCTCCGTTCAGAGTTGGAAAAAGGGAGTTGAATGAATACTTTTTAAAAGGTGACACTGAAGAAGTAAAGTGTTATACTGGACTACCTTGTTTTGATATTTTAATACCTTTGTTCAGCAACGTGAAAGCTTTCCTGCCGGAGTCAAAGAAACTGTCGTGTTTCCAAATGCTTTTACTCACACTCATGCGTCTGAGACGTGATCTTCCTGTCCAGCATCTTTGCCATCTTTTCAACATTTCCCACAAAACTCTGGCCTTGTTCGAGTTGAGCAGCGCCTCGCCTGGAAAGCAGACGAGAGCAGACGGAAGCAGCAGGGGGAGTGGCTGAAAGCCGGCGTTTAAGTCGGTCAGATTTCCCTACATGTGTAGCTCACGGGTGATGAGTGAAGATATCACGTTAGCGTTCATACTTGTTTAATTTTAAACTTTAATTCTGGTGTCTGTTAGCAGCTGAAACACATCCTCATGTGCTTGTGGATATCATATATTGTATATGAAGACATGACTGTAATAATAAGTAAAGGTTATCAGCTGTAGGTTTAGTGTGCTCATAGGAAACGGGACAAAAGAACACAAAACTCATTTCTCTTTATGGCCTATATAGTTGTCATCATCGACGTAACATGATTTACAGAATACATGTGACCAACTAACATTTCATGTTCTACCACCTGATGTTTGGATCAAAATATGAACCAATCAGATCTTAGATCAGGTGAGAGCCAGGCGTTTCCCGTCATGCCCTAGGTTTTACAGCCGGTGGAGAGCAACTGCAGCGCCTTGCTCCAAAAATCTGCGACCGACTTGATCTCACGAGGATATCGTTGCTTATGTAGGCATGACGTCAGAGCAAGTCGGCGTCAAGTCGGACTCAAATCTAACCAGCATGCACTGCGCGCCGATCACCGGTGATCTAATCTGCGCAGAACTGGCTCATCTCGAACACAGCCTCTGTCTTCTGCCTTTCCCTGATACAATCGATGTTCTTTAAGCTTGCTTAGGGCCCCCTGGTACACTGGCCTGAGAGGCACTGCCTAAGAGCCACCACGCTGCAAAAATTTATAAATTTTTGGAAACAGAGTAGCCATCATTGTTGACTGTTTTGAAATCTGTATGGAAAGACTGTCCAATTTAAAAGCACATGCACAAACATATTCTCACTATAAGGGTACACACACCATGAAATATCTTATAGGGATTAGCCCACATGGTTCAATATCGTTCATTTCTAAGGGATGGGGCGGGCGTGCATCAGACAAACATATCACAGAAAACTGTGGACTTCTGAACAAACTGTTACCAGGGATGTAGTGTTGGCTGACAGAGGTTTTGACATCAGAGATGCTGTGGGAATTATATGTGCAGAGGTTAAGATCCCTTCATTTACAAGAGGCTTTTGTCAACTTGATGCCAAGGACATTGAAGACACACGAGCTATAGCCTACCTGAGAATACACGTTGAGCGAGTCATTGGGAGGTTGCGCAACAAATACAAAATGTTGCATACCACAATGCCAGTCCGATCTCTTATTCCATGTGAGGGTGAAGATATCACCCTTCTGGACAAGATGGTAAATGTTTGCTGCATTTTGGTGAACATATGTCCCAGTGTGGTAGTAAAACCAGGGAAAAATGAAACCTGCTCTTAAATGTTTGTGCTGCACTGTGTATATAGGGATGTTTTCTTAATGATTAACTGAATGATCTGATTTTTATTCACACAATTTCACGCAAGTTTTGCATTAAACCTTAATGAGATGTCTATATATCAACTAATCTGCTTTTGCGCTTTGTAAATTATTAGGATAAAGCAAAACATTTAAAGAATTTCTTCATCTTTTATTTTTATTATCCAACTCAAGAATATATTCACTGAATGCTAATCGAGAACTTATCCCTTCATCCTTGATAAACAATAATATACAGTAAGACAACATGATTCACATTTTTTGTGCATTGTAATATAAAGACAGCTTGGTGCTAATATGCAAAATCTTTTAACTGCACAATGAAAGAACTGGAATTGTGGTTTGGGTCAGAGCCTGCCAAGTGGGTGACTTACATTTTAGCAATGTATTTCACAGCTATAAATGTCAAGCATCACTCTAAACCCATCTAATGCTAAATTAAGCTTTATTCTGACCAGAACTGTAGTTGGAGAAATATTTCCCAACTAGTTCTGTAAGGCACTCTTTGTGGAAGAACTCTTTGGCTTTCTTCAGGTGTGGTTCCCAGAAATTGACATCCGGGAAGAAGCGCACCACAGCCATGCCTTTTTCAGTCCAAACAACAAAGTCACTGTGTTTGGAGTTGGTCACATATATTTGTGTTTGCATCTTTAATCAAAGGCCATTTCCAGCAGACTCCAGGCAGAAGTCTTTATCTTGTGCATCCAAGGCCTGCTCCATTCTATATTTAAAAGGACACTTAATCTCCAGGCAACCCTTTCCACAACTCTCACACACTGAGTCCATCAGGGGAAGCTCCGAGTTCTGGGAAACTGATGTTCACAATGAAACCGCATGGTTGAACCTGAACGTTCTTGTGATGTGCGGAGAGGACTTCAGTGTAGGCCTTACTTGTATATCTTTCATGCTCCAATCCCCATCTTGTTTGTGTAACAGAAACAGATTTGTCCGGGTAGCACACTCGATTAACAACACTGATGGCTGGTGGTGTTAAACTTGTGGCAAATACTGCATGCATGACCGAAGCGGTGATTCTCCCAGCACACCATTTGAACCAGTTTGGACTCTTGTTCTGAAGTCGTTTTTGTTCTTCATTTGCTTCAGCCTGCTTTTCTGTCACTGCTGCAGCTGTTGGGTGCTTTTTGCAGTAAAGCTGTAGATCCGGAAGGTGACGGGCTGTTTGCTTTTTTGGTGCGAAGATGCCAAAGACTGAAGTAATGTAGGTGACTGTACAGTGTAATGTGTGTGATATTTTTCCGTCCCAGATAAACCAACAACCTTGCTGTGCTCAAGCGGCAATTTTAATAGTGGCAACAAGTCCTCCATATTAGCAGGTGGGATGTTAGGTTTTGAAGGCCTGATTCTTTTAGCTTTCACTAACGACTGTGTGTCTATTTGTTGATCTATTGCCTTTTTTTGGCTGTTGAAGTGGTGAAGTCAATTTTATGGCCAACTTGAGGGTGTATCTTGGACAAATTGCCAGGCAAAACCCAGTAGGCTGGCTCATCTGTAACTGTCCGTGTGCCACGGATCCACACGGTGGCTTCAACTTTAAACAAAAGAGCTGCAACATGAGTGCAGCCAATGGAGAGGCTGACAGACTGGGTAGGCCTATCAGGAACTGCTCTGGAGTGGTTCTCTTATCTTTCTGAGCGTTCCTTTTCTGTGGCCGTCTCCAAGTTCAGGTCCTCCACCACCTCCCTTGCCCATGGTGTCCCACAAGGTTCTGTGCTGGGGCCTCTGCTTTTCCTCCTATCTGCTTCCTCTTCAGCACATCCTGAGCTCCTTCAAAGGAATCTCCTACCATCTTTATGCAGATGACATCCAACTGTACATCTCCTTTAAGCCCCATGAGATGTCTAAGCTGCAGCTGTTACACACCTGCTTAGACTCTATCAAAACCTGGATGGCTGGGAGCTTTCTACAGCTGAATGAAGATAAGACTGAGATCCTCATCTGTGCCCCAGACAAGCTGGTTCCCAAAGTCAGATACTCTCTTGGTCAGCTTGCTTCTCACACCAAACCTTCGGTCAGGAATCTTGGCTTGACCTTTGACCTAGCTCTCACCCTGGATTCTCATGTCAGTTCTCTTGTTCGCTATTCCTTCTTCCATCTCAGGAACATTGCTAAGCTGAGTACCATTCTGTCCTGCTATGAACTTGAGACTGTTATCCACACCTTCATCTCCTCACGCTTAGACTACTGTAACTCTCTTTTCACGTGTCTGAGCAGAACCTCCCTGAACCGTCTACAGGTGGTTCAGAATGCCTGTGCTCGTCTTCTGACCAAGTCCTCCAAACACACCCACATCACCCCGCTTCTCCTCCAGCTTCACTGGCTGCCAGTCAACTTCAGGGTTCATTTCAAGATCCTGGTTCTGGTCTATAGGGCCTTACATGGACAAGGACACTTCGCTATGGATAAGCTCCTCCTAGCTGTTCCGAATGCTCGTTTAAAAATCCGTGGAGAAAGGGCTTTCTCTGTCTGTGCACCGAAGCTGTGGAACGCATTACCACTGCTAGTGAGGCAAGCTCCAACAGCTAGCATTTTTAAATCACGCCTGAAAACTCACTACTTCAACCTAGCTTATACAACATAATTACGGACCTCACTGACATCTGCACTGTTTATAAATGGACTCCACAATTATCGACTTCCGTATTATTGAGGTTCTGTGTTCGACATGTTTGTATAACGCCGGTTTAATTAACCAACATTTTTAGTGTACAGCGCCTTGTTTGGTTGTAATGCCTTGTGAATGCGCTTTATAAATAAAATTGGATTGGATGGACAAGCACCATCTTACATTGGTGATCTTAGTCCCTACACCCCCAGCAGGTCCCTGAGGTCCAGTGATCAAAGCCTACTGGTTGTGCAGCACCAGGCTAAAGACCAAAGGTGACAGATCATTTGCTGCTGTGGCCCCCAGACTCTGGAACTCTCTCCCCCTGAGTCTGAGATCAGTGGACTCCTTTTAAAAGCAGCTGAAGACTCACTTGTTCAAAGTGGCTTTTGTATGACCTTCTTCACCACTCTTTGTTCTGCTCTCCCCACCTATTTCACCTTCCTCAGGATCCACTGATTTCCCTCTTTCCTGTTCACTCTCTCTTTCTTAACATTTTTTAATCCCAATTGTCTATTTTTTGCTCATTTAAATATATTTTTAACCTTTTTCTAAATTATTTTTTATATTTTTACATTTTTTGTTTTTGTGAAGCGTCTCGTGATTTTCATCTTGAGAGGCGCTATAGAAATGATATTTTCTTCTTCTTCTGTAAGTATCTTTTTTAGGCATCCAGACACAATTTGTCTCGATATACTCCTTAATCTTTGGAGCAGATTTTAAGCATGATTAGTTACCTTCTTGTCTACCACTTCTCTCGTTTGTTTTGGTTTGTGGGCAATAAAGATGGCGCAGCAAAACCACAATGCAGTGCGTGAGAACTTCGGTTCCAAAGTCCTATATGAAATCTCATCGCTGCAAAACTTCTTAGGAAATTACAGGGGATTTTACACTGAAACCGTGTGTGATTTCCTGTTTAGCCCTATGTTAACTGTGGCAACTTGCAAATCCCAGAAGCGGCTCGCAGGAGAAATTAACCCAATCCTGTTTGGGATGTGTCTGAAAATTGCTGCGTCGCGGCTGGTTTGTTCCTCTCCATAGACTATATTAAATTCTATTTGTAACGGTGCCGTTTTGCACTGCCTTAGCTTCCAGTGTGCAGTAGGGGCTAAACTCCTCCACTTGAGGAAGGACCTCTCCCCTACCCCCAAAATGGGAAATCCACCCCTTTCCAGCATTGGATCGAATGGTATGAATAACGGCATGAATAACAGGCCAGGCTCTTCTCCCGTAAGGTACCTGCTATGAGGGCCGCGCCGTACTTACACGAGTCAGGTGTTCGTTCAGTCGTTTTTAGATGTTTTCCTCTCTAAACTAGTCTACATGTTTATTAATCTCATTACTGCAGATTAGACCAGCAGTGAGTCATGAAGGTGTTGCGTTAGCGTTAGCTGCTACCCTTGAGAAGTGACTCAGCATCTCTGCTGATTAATGCTTCAGCTACAGTGCTGTGTTTCTGTTTCTGGAGACGTGAGGACATTAATTCAGGAGGGACAAAATGCATATCCTTTACTGTTATTTGTCCAACAGGTGGCTCTGTGTCTCCTCCCAGCTGCTGTCCCTGTCTGTCCTTTTGTTCTGGATTTGTTGACTTTCCTGGAGCCGGTGACAGTGGTGGTGTTGGGCCTGGGACTTTCTGATCCATCAGCTTGTCCCCGTCCCACTGTCTCCTTGTTCTGGTTTTGTTTCTTTTTCCCTTTGCTTCCTTTGTCAGTTCCTTCAGAGGTCTCCTGTTGGATCATCTTTGAGGCTTCCACGTGATGCTTTCTCACACCCTCCTGTGACAGATGCAGTTCCACGCTTTGAGCAGAAAGTTTGTTAGATTCTAGAATGTAAAGTGAAACCTGTGTGTGGGTGGAGCCGTTGTGTTCTGGGAGACTGGGACATGCGTGTTCCTTCACATGTGCAGCTTCTGAGCACTTGTAGAAGGCGTGAGCTCTGTTGGGTTTTCCACACAGACTAGAGAAGGCTCACACCCAGTGATGGTGCTCCTGTTTTATTATTTCATGTTTATGTAAACAACACGGTTGTCCTCCAGGCTCTCAGAGCCGTGTGTGAGTCTTCTATAACAGGGAACAGGAATAGACGGATCCCTCCGCTGGTGAATCCAGTTTTAGTTCAGAGTTCTCTTATCAGTGAAAACATCTTTTCTAGTCTTGGTGATCCAGGCCTTCTCCTGTCTGCTCTGGGATCTGATATTTATATCAGGATGTAAACCTGCTTCAACTTTTCA